GCTGCTGAAGGTACCAAAGAGAAAGTTTATTTGGTCCTGTATTACAGAATGAAGTGTCCTGCCTGCTTAATACATAAAATCCCTTCAAACAGCAATATGAAGAACAGTCCTGATTTTAAATCCAAATAAATCATTTCTAACTAAAAAAATTAGAAATTGAATACAAATGTACTTATACCATGGGAGAAAAAGGGAGAGTAGCTGAATAACAGTTTCACCAGACAATCTTGCTTTAGATAATATCTGGACAAAGACAACATTTTTCTAAATATGATTGCACCTCCCTAATGAAAAGGACTTATATTAGTCATAAATCATTAAAACAATGAGGGAAATTCATGAGGAATTTAGTCTCCAGCTCTACAGAGATAATAATAAAGGGTAAAACAAGTTGAAATTGGGAACTCTTATTTAATTCAGACTCTTGGTAAACATTCAGGGTTACTCTTTCTTCACAAAATAATCATTCATGTCTCCTTCTCTGTTCAGATGTAGGTCTATAGTGTACTAAATATACTGTATTTTGATGGTTACAGATGAGAAGAAACAGATTCTTACTTTAAAATCCGGGTTTATAATTGTTGACAGGGGTACACATACAAACTTTTTTTTCATATATTGGTCATCTTTAACAGAAACACAAAAAGATCCGAGGAATGTCTCAGTACAATCTAATTCGAATTTATTCCAGAAGCATTTGTCAGAAGATATTATGGCGAGGATTATAAAAGAGAAGAATACACTGAAAACACAGAATGCCAAAAATCACCATCTGCTGAGATGATGGGAGTATCATGCTCAAAGCTGTTAAGGTGTTACTAGAGCTGTTGCATGTTACAACATTAAACAGTTAATTGCAGTTCATGGGTTTTAAGTAAAAGAACTGGGGACTGCTTTTTACCATAGCAACCACAAAAAAGAAATCTCTTCCAGCATGTATGCAATGTGCACCAACAAAAAAGCAAAGAAAATAAATATATTTGGAATTTGGTTTTTAAACTATAATTATTCGGACAAATTCCTCTTTCCAAATTTACATTCAGAGCATCCTGGGGGGAATTAGATGTTCATTCCAAATTTATCAGATGTCTCCTGAGGGACAAGAAGATGTATTACATTCTGTGTCTTTTCTCACTAACAATTGTCAGGACGACTCCTGCTGCTTAGGTAAACAGAGTAGGGGAGTGAAAGAATAGGAAAGAAAGGAAAACTTCTATCACCTCACTGAGGTGTGGCCGCTTGTGCTGCGGGCAGGGCACAGGTATAAATGCATCGGTCAAGGTCCCATGTGTACTATTGTTTACCTTTTGCCACTCCAGCCATTTCTGCTGTGTGCTGAGGTCAGCCTACTTGTGCCCTTTGAGCATGAGGAAGCATATTATGGTGACAACATTTCTGGTTGTTTAATCCCAGGTCAGGTCAAGTTTGAGAGGAGGACAGGAGACAAGGGAAGTAAAATGACAGTGATATCATCATCATTCCTTAAATACTAACACATAACATTTTGATACCAATGGAACTTCTTATCCATGCTACTTTTTGAAATAAAAAAGCCCAGCAAATTAACTCAGGCAGTCACCTAAAAGGTGAGACAGGCAGGTGAAAAGTAATGAAAAGAGAAAGAGGCAGGTCCTGCTAGTTGCTATCCCCAGAGGATACCCCGAGGGCAGGAGACAATAGGAAGAATTGTATTTCACTAGCCCTGAATTAACTAAAGGTTTGAATATGGAAATGTTTTTAAAACATCTATTGTAACTGCTGAAAACAATTATGTCTGTGGTATCTGCCAACTCTCATAATTATCTGCTGTTGTTTTAAAAATGTGTATGGGAAATTTTGCAAAATCTAGGACCAATAATCTCATGGCTGACACAGCATGCTCTTAGACTCTTACACCACAAATGTAGTGTGAGAACTGAACAGAACAGTTGGCCACATTAAGATTCAGATTGACAAAGACAGACTGAGGGGGGGTTGTCAGCTGATGCAAAAATTTCCATAGGCAAAAATATTAAACCTGAATACACGGAGGAATTCACTCACATGTGAGTGCTTTCAGGACCTAGAGATGCCCTTCGAGTTTTACCTCTGCAAATCCAGAAGACGTATGTTCATGGCTCTGTGCACCCACAAATTCTCTATACAAGACTATTTCTACCCTCTGCAAGGTAGACTCTTCTCTTTATTTCAAGAAATTCATATTGTACTGCTATTAAATCTTGTGTTTATCAAGGTCTTTTCACCACCATAACTCACTCTGTTTCCATATAGCCTCTAACTTTGTATTTGTTTATAACAGCACGATGTAAGTTTTGCCCCATCAGTTATGGAAATCTTTAGAAATATTTTGAAGTGCTCAACTCTACTGTGACATGAACACATAATTCAATAAAATGCCCCTGTTTATGCTACTAGTAGATTTGACTGAGTTGCATTAATTGTGCTAATTATGATGATATGTGAGGACACAGAAAAAAAGGGCTCCACTGCTCTTATGAATGGAAGATTAGATACCTCTTGCCATAGAGAACTGACAGTCAATGTATGCTTAGACATATAACCTTACATGAAATTTTTCATCCCACTCTACATAAAGCATTCTAATTTTGCTAGCTTTCCTACATCCCAGGCCACAACTGTAATAGTATTTTGAAGTCACCAGTAGCTGCAAACGCAAAACTGCTCCTAGTGCAGAAGGAAAAGTAGGCATTGTATTATCAGATAATTACAGTCCTTGAATATAAATATGAACGCAAGTAAAAATTTAGGAGTTCAGATTTAGTATCAGAATAAGACTATAATTTCCCACAAGGAGGAAGACTTCAATTCCACACAAGAAGGAAGAGGAGTTTGAGTACAGTTAATGGTTTGAATTTGGGTATTTTCTATTCATCCCTTATTAGTGTTATATATTATTCAGCAGAATTAAACACAGACAGTGGGAATCCACAGATGCCCACTGTCTCTTAAAGGAAAACACTTTATTTATCTGTCAATTAAAAGATTTGGGAAACAACAGCAAGTTCTGGCTATAATTTTGCATCAAATGTGTATCTGAAGTTGAATTACAAGATTCTCAAATGCTAATTTTGTAACTATTTTTAGTTGTGCTTTTTTTCCCTAAACCACTATTGTTCACTTTTCATCGGCCTTGTAACTTTTGCATATACCAGATGTCACATGCTGAGTATCTACAAAACAAGACTGGATTCAATGCACAGAGCTGCATCACTGGGTGTTATTAACCAGTTAAAATGTTTGATGGCCATAGACATACAAAGATTCTCTTAATCTGAGCCTGCAAAGTTGCAGCCTTAGCTCTGACATTTGTCAAACCATAGGTTTCCAACAAATAGAGTAGCAAAGGACATTGTATTTACATCATTAAGTGGAGGATTTAATTAAAAAAATTAGATTGTGAAATTGTAACTGAGGTCCATCCACATCTGGTCTCTGCAATCATACTGCATTTTAAAAGGTCTGGTGAAGAGTTTGATGACAGAAGTGCAGGGTGGCCCTTGAGAGGTTTATGCATGAAAGCCAATGCTTAAATAATAAACCTATTTTTTACCTCCAGTGCCTTTAGCTGTCAGGCACATCACTCACTACACCCCAATTCCTGCTAAGGCCTTTGAGGGTGCAGTGGGAATCTTATTAGGACAAGGCTCCTCACAAAGATAGCACCAGGAGCGTGAGGAGCTACAAAAGAATTCCCTGTACAATAGATGAGACACAATTGATTTCTGGCACTCCACTTCCAGCCTCAGCCAGAAATACAAGACGAACAGGCTTGTTTTCTTCTGTGATTTCAACATGTCTGCTTCCTGTATGAGCTGGAAATAGGACATACCATAACAATTGTCAAAACATTTCAGGAGCTCGAGCAAGGTGTGGTTGGAGCCAGCTTCTGGAGTCACCGAGGGCTTGGGGAGCCATGTGAGCAGGCTGGGCCCTCTCTGCTACCTGCTGATATAGCAACCAAACGTGACCCCACCAAAGGCACTGCAGTTTGACCCTCATTCAAACATCTTGTCTGGATGGCCCCAAACTTTCACAGCCAGGCTGAAGGAACTCAAGTGTCTCGGAAACACCAAGGGACAGCCCACTCAGGCTGAAATCTGGCAGCCCTTGGGTGCCTACCCTCAGCTCACTCATGCATGGTGCCTGGCCCTGCCAGGGATGAGTCCCTGCTTACAGTGGGGAACTGCAAGCTCTGGGAGAGGGGGACAGTCAGAGCACCAGCACTTGTGGAAAATAGTGGGAGGGGAGGCAGGACCCTGAACTGAGAGCAAAGGGCTCCAGCCAGGGCCAGAACATGGCTGGGAAGGACTGCTGGCTTCTCAGGGAGAGGCGGAGGAGAGCCGGCTGCTGACAAGAGGGGAGATGGAAAGGGCACTTTCCTCAAGAGTTGAAGAAGCATTTTAGAGAGGAGAAGAGGGCAAGTCCAAACTGCTTTATGATGGGAGGCACAGATGTCTGGTGGGACAGGAAGAGAGGACTGGGAGAGACATATGGGAGAGGCCTGTCTTCCACTGAGGGAAACGGGAAAGGAGAGGAAAGGCTCCTAACTGCAAAGGAGGGAATAAAAAAGAAGGGCATAGTAAAAGACATGGTAGCCACTGGTGAGGCAATTGAGCCCAAGTGGGACGGTGGGGGGTGTGGCTGGGAGCAAAAAACAGGACCCAAGCTGGTGCTTCAGTGGACTAATCTGGCAGGAGAGGAAAACCCGACCTCCAACATTAGGGTAAAGTAACAGAAAAATGGGAACAAAATTCACAAAAGGGAAGCATTTGGGAGAGAGAGAGAGAGAGAGACAAACAGGAGAAATATGGCATCTACACTGAGAAGGAACTGAAGAATCTTGGTTATGATAGAGTGAGGGAGAAGAGCTGTTGTGTGCTGCCAACACACGCAAACGTGGCTGGTGAACGGAAAGTCAGAATATACATTATTCATCAGGGCAAACTAAATTTTTAATGAAAGAATACTTCCATGCCTACCTCACGAGAAATGTGTGAAGATCTTTGGGGACCATGTTCTGTGGGTTTGGTTATTCACACGGGCATTGCGAGAGAGCAAAGCACAGGTTTTTGAATGCAAACTTCATACTGGGGCAAGGTAACTTTGATCATCCACAAGTGGTTTTATATCTCAAAATATAAAGAAGTTTGACACACATCTTTCAAAAATGCAGGTAGCTCTTCCAAGTTTCTTTTCTGTCCCAACTGGATGGTTAAGAGCCTTCCTCTAGAATCTGGATACGGCCTTCAAAAATATTATTGTTGCTGTTATTTACCAAAAAAATGTTTCAAATTAAAAAACCAAACATAAATATTCAGTAAGTAAATGTGATTTTCTGCTAATAATTTTAAGAAGCAGTAAGAAACACACATTGATGACTGTGTTTTAAAACAATTTCTCTGTGATCTTTCCTGAGTACCTGTCAATACAGGGATACTGAATTTTAGCCTGTTGAGTATTCTTTGACCTTGCATTCATGTCTTCCTATTTCCCAGATAGATATACTATCTACCCCTCAGTCTTCAGAAGTGAACACACTTGTCTGACCTGGTCTAATCCTCAGTTTGTTGCCACAAGTCCAGTCAATGAAGTGTTAGGCAGGGTCCTCGGGTAGTGTGCTTTAGGACGAGAGTTTGAGATCCATGTTTCATACAGGTTATACTATAGCACTGAGACTCCACCTTCAGGTGAAGGTCAAGACATAGGAAAGATTCTTGAGGGAGAGAAAATACTAGAAACAAGATGGTCTGAACTGAACTTTCAGAGAGACTCCTGGCTAAAACCTGAAACTGTTGCAGATTAAAATAAAAACCAAACTGTTGCAACAACAACAACAACCAAACAAACAAAACCCAAAAAACCCACACCACACATTTTCGCTTCTTCCAAGCAGTTGGTAAGTCCTTGCGTCCAGTGAGGATGCAGATGTGGATCTTGAAAAGACAGTAAAGTACTACATTAATGCACTTAGACTACAGTCAATACTTGGGCAAAATTGCTTAGAACAAATTTAGACACTGGAACCAAAGTATGTGCAATTTTTTCACAGTGCTTGCATAATTCTCTTAGGTTTGAAATGTGTAGTAACTGTTGATTCCCATCTCTAGTTCATAGCTCATTTTTTTGGTAGCATTTTTTTTTCTTTAAACTTTCCTGACTTCACCATAATAAGTTACCTTATTGTGCATTGTCTCTTCATAAATCTCTGCAATACACCTCTATTCCCCATTTCATCTGATTAGTGCTGCTGCAGTGTTTCAAGCATTGCTTTGTTTCGTGTGAAGCAATTTGTAACCCCTGTTTGAGAAATATGTTTTTGTTTGGATACAAGAGTATCTCACTTAGAATTTCTTTTTCAGTTCTCCATTTTTTCTGACTGTTTCTTTTTTAAGTGCTGGCTTCTTTGGCTAAGATGGAACTGAAAGCATAATTCAGATTTTTTTGTGTGTGTTATTTCAGAGAACATTAAAAATAGATTTCTCTGCTATAAGTGCCTATTTAATATAGTTTTCTAGCTCAAGTCTTCTATGATGGCACTCACACACTGTTTGAGACACCTTCTGAAATTACAGAGAGATAAGAAATAGTACAGGGAGTGCACTTTTGGCCAGAATCACTCTAGGGAGACTGGCCCAGAGTGGCTTCTACATTTGGCTTGCTAAGCATTGAATTGTTTCAATGGCCATCCTGTATGCATCTTTTTGCAGAAATCTAGGTATAGGACTTTTTTTAAAGTATCTGTTTTATTTCATTAATTCAGCTACTCTAATTATCGCATAGCATACTAGGATGTTACATTGTATTAAAAAAAAAGTTTCAGAATCAGTTTCACCAGAGAAATGCAGGACTATCTATCTGATGCATTTTGCACTTTCTCAATACAAACTTCTCTGGCACCCTGAGGTGTTGCTGTAGTATTAAATAGAAATTTCATTTACCCACTCTAGAAAGAGAGACAACAGATCGATAATCTACGGCTGAAAATTAGCAAGAGTGTAAAAATCCACTATCAAAACCATTTGCACACAAGTCAACATACACATTAGTTTTACACTTCTCAAAATCCTGGAGGAGGATTGAAGTTTTGCTGCTGCTGTGACTGATAGACAGCTACTTTGCCGGTGCTTTTCTTATGCATCACTGACTATATTTAAGAAAGTCTTGTGAGTCATTTACTGTTCCATTCCCACCAAAGTAGATACCTGGGTTCATAAAACTGTCTACTATGTAATAATTTCTGCTATATAAGATAAAACCACTATTGTGGTAAATCCATTGCAAAACAGGATCCTGAAAAGTGCTAATGAATTTCTTGCCAAACTGCTTAAATCGTAATTACTTTGTCAGAAGCATCATATGTTTATAATCTTGTTATGATACTGAAGCCTTATACAGCTGTTTTTTTGTAACACTTCTGTAGCCAGTTTAAAGCCATCTGGTGCACGTATTGCCAGGTATACACGATTTTGTTGTTGTTGTGACTACATGTGCACCCTCAGCAAACTCGTGGTATTTTCTCAGTGTATGACAGTAGAGTTGAAACGGGATCACATTATTATTTAATTGTACACAATGACTACATATGAGGTTCCTGATAGCCACATGTGAGAAGTGTTGTTTCGGTTCGTTCTCTCTTCACATTCAGATGCTGAAAATTATATAAATGTTAGATTGATCTCCCAATAAGCCAAAGATTGATATGCAGCTTCAGATCTCTTCTAAATGTCATAACTTTTCCTGTGCTTTTATAAAGCCCAAGTCTTTAATTATAATTCTAGTAAGTAGATATTGGAACATATGATTTTTATCTCCTGGTTACTTAGCAAAAAGCTTACATTTGGAGATCATCTTATTAAAAGACCTGTGATATATGGATTAAAAAGATTAGAGCTAAGGTTTCATCTGTATTTTGCTGTCTATCAATTAAAGGACATAATTAGCTTATAGTTTACTTTTTTAATACCATGTTATGATTGGATCACTGTAGTATTTAGAAGCTGCAACCAAAATAAGAGCTGCATTATCTTGAATTCTGAAAAACCACATAGTAAAAGGAAGCCCCTGCTTGGCAGTTGAAATAAAAAAGATCCTGAGAGACCAGGAAGGGAAAGAAGTACCTTTCCTGACTGAGTTAATTATTTTTCTGCAGCAAAATGACTTGTTGAAGGTCATAGGAGAATTGAATTTCTATGTTGGTGGGCAGGTGGAAAAGAAACAGAGGATGTTTGGTCCACATTTTCATGTACAGCTTTTTTTTTTACTCATTTCCTATGGAAATAAGTCTTCTCTGATCATGTTTGTGCCTTTCCCTCCCTTTTTTTGTCTCCACCCATAACTTTTGGCTCCACTGATTAATAAAAACAAATTTGAAAGATGAGTAAAAGTCTTAAATAGGATTCTCTTCCTATGAATTTTGTGAAAGCAGATGCCAGGAGAAGGGAAGAAGAAACCATCTGAATGTTCCTGCTACAGTAAAACTGCAGCTCGAGTTCACCTTCACAAGACAAAGCTACATATATTCCCAACCATGGGAAAATTTCTCTAGTGTCAAATCAGCTCTCTTCCTATTTTGCTATAAATCTCTAGAGCATAATGCACAGCTGTCCACACAACACACACTAGTTTGATTTGCACCAATCTGGAGTGAAATAAGTAGTGTTCTTTGGGAGAAGCCCTGGTGCAGAACAGAGGCTATTTTTCTGTAGCTTCAGGGCTTGCACCCTACAAGCCAATGGAGACAAACTGATGGCTGGTTTGCTCAGGGATGGGGTTCATTCCTTGGTGCAGATTCATAGACACAGCACAGACACAATCAAAGCAAACTTGTACTTCTTAAACAAAAGATGCTGATGACTGGAAAGTCAGGTTTATGTGTAGATGTGGCACTTGGGGACATGATTAAGTGCTGTACTTGGCAGTGCAGGGTTAATAGCTGGAGTTGAGCTTAAAGGTCTTTTCCAACCTAAATGATTGCATGACTCTGACTGTGGAACCATTTGTTTAATGATTATGTTTTTGAATACATATGGTAGGGAGGAGGAAGAATCCCTTTGGGAGGGCTTTGGAAACCTTTCTCTCAAATTGTAAGTCACTGGATTGTTTCTTTTGTGGAAGGGATTGATACATCTTGCATCTCTGATTTTATGCTAATTTTCCTTCATATGGTCTGTTTCTGTTAAGAGCCTAGACTGAAGATCTGCAGTGTGTCATGGTAAGCAATATGTAGATCAGTGCCATGTGTCAAAGCTGGAAAGTTCCTTCACTTTTCTTGCTTGGTTTGAGGCTGCTTGAATTAAGTACTTTCCCTCTCTCCTTTTTTCTCACTGTGTGGTTAGGAATTGCTTTACTGCCTGTGTATCCTGTGTCAGTGTTTAATATTAGTTAGATGTTTGGCCATCCGTACTTCCCCGAAATCTAATGTTGGTTTTCACTGATGGGGATTTCCTGGGTGCTCACGTGCCTTTCTTTTCTATCTTGACTCCAGATACACATCTTGGGTAATCACAGCAGTGTTATGGTATAAGCTGTGCAGTGTAACTTCTCTAATTAGGGGACTATCTGGCCGCTGTCAAGACTTTTGCTCAACCAACTTGTAGTGAATTTGAATACAAGTGCCAAACATGGTTGACTATTAACTTCACGTGCTTTATCATTCCTTCTAAGGAATTCCATCTTGCTATTCCTGACCAAAGTGTTTTTCAGTATAGAGAATAGGGTTTTCAACCTCAACATAAGCAGCATATGTTTATTCTTTATTTTTTCTTTCTCACTGATAATTACGTCTCCTTATAATTAAAAACATCAAATATATCCACTACCAGCTGAATTTTGTTAGACTAAGTAAAATTCTTCTCATATGATAGAATCTTAATTCCTCTGATCTTTCTAGTAACCCTTTCCACACTTTTTTTGTAGGAAGATTAATTTAAACAGGTGAATAGGACTGTACTTAATATTCCAGAAGAGATCTTGCCAGGGCTTTCTATTATACAAGCACTCTTCCTGCTTCTGGAAATTACACATCTATCTAAGATCATGCATCTTATGTCTGCTTCACGTTGGTTGCTAACAAGCCTGCTGCAACTTACTCTCATAGGAGGTGCATTTTGGTGTGTTTTCTAGTTATTTGACTATGCTCCTCAAGTTTCTTGTAGCTAACATTACTTGACTGGAGGCACTCTGGCCAGGCCACATTTTACGAAAGCTTTTAGGCTCACCTCCAGGTATTAAGGATGGGATTTGTATATTCCAGCTACTTTTCAGAAGAGGTGGAATGTGAACATTGTGTGTATTTACCACTGCATCTGTTGACAGCCAAAGGGTGTCTGTCCTTTGCCCATAACGTTTATCCATTCTAGCGTGGTAAAGAGCCCAATTAATGAAGCAGTGAGAAATTCACTTAAACCCATTCCAGACTGTAGCACCATATACCTTCAGACAGGCAGCAGTGCTGACTTCAGCAATTCCTGTCCTGCTCCTCTGGCCACAAGTCCAGACCCTGAGCAGGCCCTAAATGCTATTGTTTTTTCTTGAGTATAGATTAATTCCATGCTCTACTTCAGCACTGTCACTCAATGCTTTGAACCAGCAAAAAGTGAATGGTGACAAAGGGTCTTGAATGAGTGGCTGGCAAAAGACATAGGACGGCGACAGGGCCACGCAAAGCCCACATCAGCACTCCAAGAAGTGTCTGTTGAACAATAAACATCAGCACTCCTGCTGGGGCTGCAGAGCTGTATGAAGGGTGCTGCATGCTGCATGCATCACTGAGGCTGATTAAACCAAGTTCTTAACCAGAGGTGTTCATGTTTGGCTTAGAAGGTGTGAGTTGCAGCAACAGGCTTACAGCGTAACTCCTTACCCAGATCAGGTATATCTGAGCATAATTTTCACTTTCTATTCTTACCTCAATGGAGAAATAAACAGAGATGACACGGCCCTAAATTAAAAGCATGTACGTCCCATAGGTTACATCGAGCGAGATGAAAACCTCGGTGTTGTTTGAGAGGAGGAGGACCTGCGAGCTCAGAGCTGCTGTACCTAAAACACCAGGTACTACCTGCCTAAAACACCAAAACCAGGGAAATCCCATTTGCAAGCAGACGAAGCCCTACAGATCAGGCAGCACTCGGGCAACAAAATGGCTGTGGCTGTGGCTATAGGTGATCCACAGAAGCGCAGCTGGAAGGAGCCGGGGGGCGGGGGAGCCCCGAGCCCACACTCCGGGGTCGATGGGGGGCCGCGGCGGGGCGCGGCGAGGCCGTGCCGCAGTCACCGAGAGCCCGTCCCAGGCACTTACTGCGGGGCGCTGCGAGACGCGCGGCGGGCGCGCAGCCCCGGGGAGCGCACGGCCGGCGGCTGCGCCTTCCCGGCGAGACTCTCGGGCCGCGGCCCCGCTCGGCTCGGCTCGGCTCGGCCGGCCAGGCGGTGCCGGTGCCGGGTCGGGCCGGAGGGCAGCGCAGGGGCCGCGGGTCCGGCGCCCCTCGGGGCGGGCGCGGGCCCGGTGCCGGCGGCGCGGGGCGCAGGCGCAGGGGGCACGGGCATGCGCGCTGTGCGGCGGGGAGCCCGATCTGATAGGGAGCAGGGGCTGACACTACCCCCGTGTGGGCGGCGGAACGTCCCGAGGATGACGTGCGGCGTTCTCGAATCCCGTGTCTCGCTCGCTCGCTCGCCGCCGCCGCCGCCGAAGGAAACGGGAAAAGCAACAAGGAGGCAGGAGCAGGCGCGGCGCCATGGCGGCCCTGGAGCGGCCCGTGCCCAGTCCCGAGGCGTTCCTGGGCCAGCCCTGGGCCGCCTGGGTGCGGGAGGCCGCCCCCCCGCACGCGCACGGCGCCGCCCCCCCGCACAGTAAGGGCAGGGACCGGCCGCGCTCCGGCTCCGCACGCCGCTGCCCCCGGAGCGGGGCCGGGGTCCGGCCGGGCCGCCCCCCCTCCCCTCTCTCCCTTCCCCTCCCTCCTCCCGCCGGGGCCGGGAGGTGCCGCCCCCCCGGGCGCTCAGCTGACGCCCGGCCGAGCCCCCGTGCCATGTGTGCGGGAGGCGCACACCGCGCCTGCCGTGCCGCTGCCCCGCGGCGCTGGGCCGGCGCCGCGGTGGGGGAAGGGGGCGAGGGGGAGGATGCGCGGAGGGGCCGGAGGATGCCGCGGGAGGCGGGGGGGCGGAGGGTGCTGCCGCGGGGGGCCCGGCGGTTCCGCTCCCTGGCAGATGCTCCGACCATTGTGCTTTTGCTGTTGCAAATAGAAACAGTGCTCACCTCCTCACCTCTCCTCCTCCTCCTCCCCTCGCCAAACAATAAATGCACACCTCAGGGCCCTCGGCGCTTCCTGACTCTGCTTCTCTTCTGCAGGTGTAGATCTAGAAGAGACTGGAAAGGAGGGTGGAAAAAGCAGAGAGGTTATGAGGCTTAATAAAGAAGGTAAGTGGATAGTGCTGGCACACCTCTCTACCTGTCTTGTCTCTTGGTGGTTGTGGATGACTGTGGTTTGGCCTTGACAGGGTAGTCTCAAGGCAAATGGATCTCTCTGCCGTGAAGAATGTTTCAGGATTGGATACACGCAGATGACTGTCACTGTGTCAACTTCTTTTGAAGTACGGGTATAACAGGTGTATGCGTGCACCTGACAGACGTGGTAAAAGATAAGGCAATTTTGAGTCAAAAGACAACTACACATCAGTGGCCATATTGGATTTTTTTTGTAGACCCTATCCCTTCGTGCAACATCTCAGTTGCTTCTGTGTGAAGATAAGCATATAAACCTGGGCATCAACTTTACACGTTATATTATCATTAGCGACTGTAGCGAAGACATTTTCACTTGCGGAGAGAAAGAGTCTGTTACAATTTTTGAGTTCATGCAAAGTCACATTTTATTTTTTCATTCTCACTGCTGAGTGTGACTTGCAGACAACTGAGTGGCCGGCGTCAAATATTATCTTACATTAGACTAAGCCATGTATATTATGCAAAACCAAATATAATGAGCCATTTGGGCCGTAAGGTTTTCTGGTACCATCAGTGTGAATAGGCAGATTCCAGGCTAGTGGTATTTGCCAACGTGCCATGCCTGACGCAGTTCTGTCAGTTGCGAGAAGAGAAACTTTAGTGGTGAGCATAAACAAATCAAATTTACACCTTTCGTTTGTGATATGTGTCATTAACATCGTGCTGGGGGAACACCTAATGCAACTAGTGAAATGCTTTGGGACGTTCTTTCATGTAGCTTTTTGTTTGTTTCTGTTGTGTTAAGAAAGCAGTTTACATATACAACCTCTCTGTCATGAGAAATACTTCTTGTAAAGTCAGTTCATAATGAACGATCCCATCATAGTGAAACTTCAATGTGGCTTACTCATGCTGAGAGAAATCCTGCTATTACCTGTAATGTCATAATATATATTCTGAAATGATGTTAAATTTCTCGTTATATTGTAGTTGTCATTACACGTGCATTCAATTTTAAGCATCTTGGCAGCTCAAAGGAATCTTATGTTTTCTAAACAACCTCTTGAAAAAAGAATGAATTAATCAGTAATGTAGATTTGTGTGATAAACTATAAAATTGTATTCAGAACCTGTTAAAATCATTTAAAATACCATAAAACTTCCCTTTTGGAAGACCTTTCTAGAGATGCTAAGCTTGATTGTGTTCCTATCTTGATTCTTACGTGCCTGAACCTCTTTATTTTGCCAGCCCAAAAATAACTTAGCGGCAGAACTGGGATTTTCCTGTAGTATATTTATAAGTAAAAGGTTCAAGGCGCAGTTTGTACGTCTGTCAGTAATGTTGATTCAAAAATAATCAAACAAAAGTCTTGCTACTTCATCTTGGCCTTCCTAAGGAGCTTAATTTGTTGAGATAAAATGTTTTGTGCTCAGAAGTCCTTGAACACAAATTCTTATTATAAGCTTACTCGAGACATAAAGATTGAAGCACATCCCTACTCTCTAATCATACATAATATGCAAATTGTTTCCTAGAATGATTCAGTTTAGATTATCAGTTCTAGGCTTGTTGGAGTTTTTTGGGGGGTTAGAGACTCCAGCAAAGGAGTTCTATGTAAACTCACTCTCCAGAAAATTTTTTTCCAAACGAAGTGTAATGCTGTTGCTGACATTATGATGGTGACAGGTGTGAAGCACTTACTGGTTTTTATAGTACTTGTGGTGTAATATAAATGAAAAAACAAACCCGACTGTTATATTTAGAAAATAAAAAGCTTTATAAATGTTATTGTTCCAAGTAGTAACTTGTATTAGATCACTTAGAAAGAACTTTCATGAAGTTTGAATAAATTAGTATGTGTTGAAATATTTCTGTATTCACTTAAACAGTCTGTTAATACAGGTGTTTTTACCACACCCATCTGTGTGTCTGAACACCCACTGTAAATCTTCGTGCGCCTCACCGTCCTTATTCATAAAGGTGGGGGAAAGTGTGACAAGTTAGATTAGTCTGCAGGAGACATTGCTCATGTATTTGCAGAAATGCTTGTGCTTTTACTCTGATCTTGCACACATCTGTCTTGTGACATGTTGGATTTTTTTGACTGCTTTGTTCATAGACAAGGGTTGTGGTCATGATAGGTCTGAATACCAAACCCAACTCCTTTTTCTTTACAACTTTATCTATTTGAGTAGACCTTTTTATGGCATCTGTGGTGCCAGGAGATTGTAAGTGGTGTTTTAGAAAAATCAAACGTTACTTGTGTCAAGTAACTGAGAACGACAGAGACAGGATTTTAAGTATCAGAAATTACTGTCCTGTTGGATAAAGATAATGTAAAATCTGATCTCTCTGCATTTGCTTCCTGTCGTATTTGTCTGCATTTTGTCATCTTTAGTTGATGTGACGAGATTTATGCGGCCATCCCTTTGTAAGCAGTTGAGCAAAGGAGTCTTTTTAGACTAGTGAAACTGTGTGGAGAGCATGGTGGGGGAAAGGGATGGGAAGACAAGTGGTCTCCTCCAGACCACCACAAAGCGTTTCACTTTGGTTTTGTAGAAAAATATGGTGTCGGGTGGCAAAAAGTGCCATCCCTGCTTCATCCCTGCTTCACTGCCTCCTTTCTGGTTGTGTGGTATATGTGTTGAGAGTGGTGGGCTGCTCTTCCTCCTCCCTTTGGCCCAGGTGGGGACCTGGGAGGCAGCATTCCCAGGAGGTGGTGGGGTAGAAACACTCACTGCCAAGTCTCCGCCTGCCCAAGGGGTTGATACTTCTTTGCACATCCCTGGGCAAAGGGGTCACAGTCACTGTGCTGTTCAACTCTGTAATGCAAGAGATGCACTGAGGCCATGGTGCCCCCTGTGCCCCACCTTAAGGGTAAAAGTAAAGGCACAGAAATATTGCTCTCTGCTTTCCTTTATTCTGCAATGCATATGTAGGCAGCACAGAGGGAGAGAAATTTCCTGAACGTTTGTTCAGTTTTGTAGACAGAATTGCTTTTTGCATGCTAATACTTACTCTAAGTTTTCCTTCAGCAAATGCAGTCTATCCATGGTTGACTTTTACTGGCATGCAGACTTGTGGAGAGGGGGTTACAAAGTTGTTGCAAGTGTTCAGAGAAAATTAGAAATTTTATGCATAAATGTTTGTGCCAGAAAAAAAAAACTTATCTGCTTCTCTAATCAGGAAACAGAAACAGTATTGTGTAATTTATCTGACAAATCACTACCAAGCAACCGGCTTAGCTAAAAGAAGGGTTATCAGAATTGGAGCAGCATTTAGAATTTATGTTGAATTTTAAAAAGTTGAATGGCATAGTTGAAAAATTAAAGATCTTCTTGCAGGTAGCGTGCATAATAAAAGAAGTCTGTATTTATTTGAGAATTTGTGTTCTGTAAAATGCCACAGTAACTGTGTACCTGAGGTAGATACAGTGTTCTGTTGTTATCAGTCTTAACCTGTAACTGATTATAGATTAAGTTAGGAGGCATGTGTTTTACTTCATATGATATTGAAGAAAATAACAGAAGAGTGGGATTTTTTGGTTTTGTGTACAAAACTTGTGTTAATTGGTCTAGTTAATGCGCAAGCATTGAGTGTGCTGTGAGTGTTTCTAGGTAGGCACAGGCTGTAAAGGAGCAAAAGATATCCCGTGATAGTACCTCTGTGAACTACAGCAGGGTTAAATATGACCTATGGGACTTAGGTCTATATCTGGGTACTTGGTGTCATAGTCAACTTCCGTTTCCCAGTTCAGTGGGTTTGTATTATTGAGGTTTCAATCTCATGATGTGTGTGTTTTGTCTCAGATAATCTTTTCACTGACCATACTGATTCATTATCGTTTGACATTAAGGATGTTATGTAAAAAATTCTAAT